TTCGACCAAATTTCCTTAAACTTGGAGTGAAGTAGTTTTGGGTGGACCCCTTCAAACTGGCCAAGTTTCATCGAAATCGGTTAGATGGCTTGTGCCGCCCCTGCCTGGTCGTATCGTGGATGCACTCTTAAGCGACAGTTTGCCTGGCCATCAGTGGGATAATTCTTTAAATTTTTTAAAAAAACAAATATAGAAGGCAAGCTAACAAGTAAAATAGGCATCGAATTCCAGATTTTAGGTCCTCCATAAAGAATACTAAAAATTGCTTTATATTTGTTTTTCAAAAATGAGGTCTATACTGAGAGGCTAGTCGAGTTTCGTATTGATGGACTTGATTACTACTTAAGAACAAGTCATGAAAGCTACTAGGCAAAGATTATGGTGATAAGAATACATATTGCAAAAGGTAAATACAGTTTAGGTTGGAACAGTAGTTGGAGGACCAGTGGCGACATTACAGTATGTTTTTAAGCGATGTTTATTACAAGGTCATTTATCTTTGCAAAATGCTTTCACATAAATTTAAAATTTCCACCTGTCTTGATTATTCCCTAAATTTCTTCACATAAAAGTATTTTTATTCAAGTTTTGATAAAAATTAGAAAATTCATAGATCTGTTTCCTTTGTTAATACTGAAAGGTAACTCATGGGTATGGGCAATACTTTATGATAAAAATGATGATGCCCTGCAAAAAAACTCCAACCATTTATTACATAGCAGGAATTGATCAAGAGTAAAAAAGTTTATTCCATGCAAAACATAATGCACTAATCAATGATATTTAAAAGTGCTTTTACATTTCATAAAAAGTGCCTGGGGATGGGCAAACATAAACTTGTTTCCGAGGAAAAAATTGCCCTTCCAAAAATTTGTACATACCCCTATGTTATTGTTGAGATCAATTTCTGAGTAAGTCATCCTATGCTTGGAAGACAGGGGAGTTACAGTTGTGGAAAATTTCCACCAGTTTTACATTTCCTTTTTTTTTTTTTTTTATAGGGAAGATGTTGAGGCCCTTATTAAAGACATCAACCGTCAGAAAGAGGCAATAAAGAAACATGGCATATGGG